CTTTAAATTAACCCCACAAACACATTTCATCTCACCTCCACTGTATTTTCTTTTCTATCTGACTTGATACCACTAGAGGGCAGTTTGTGCTTCTGTTATTTTGATGAACCAAACTGTCAAAGCAGAAGCGTAGTAGTTATTATTAACTACTAATTAGTTTCTGAAAAAGTTGACACTTTAAAAACCACATTTGTAAAAAAACATGATGAGTAACAGAGTCCAATATGCAATATGTTATATTTATTGTTATAATTACACAAAATCAGTGTATAGTTATTACCTGGTATACATAGGCCTCTATTGTCAGTATGTGGAACATTTGTTAAAGTTGTGTTCCCCTACGTCCACATTTGGGGGACACCTCTTTATAAGGTCCCACACTTCACCTCTCCCCCTTTTACTGCTGTTCTCCTTGGGAGAGATATGTCACATTTTGGTCTTTCAAATTTCCGTATGTTAGCCTCTGTTATTATGTTTGCAAGTTAACTACCTAGTTTAAAGCTATAATGTAATATGCTGCTGCCTTAATTGTGTTGTTTAATTTGTGTAGAGGCTCCACTAATGTTGAAAATTGACCAGAGGATTTTGTTCCTTAGCTCGTTTTGTCTGAATAAACAGAGATCAACTCCACAGACATTCAAGATCCGGCACTTTCCATCGAATAAATCATGATGCAGACGTAGTTTGACGCAGCTTTTACACTCCCATTCTTGATTCAGACACCAAACATATGATTTACCACATTTCCAAAACATTTCAAAGTCAGACTTACTGGAGGATCTGGATCTGACTGGCGTACGACTGGTATTCCATGACCATCATCTTCAAATCCTCTTTTTCTCTGTGAATACATACACTTAGATTATAAAAGATAGTGCGTCACATTTTGTGTACATGCTTGATTTTAACACAGCTCCTCACCTTTCGTATTGAGCTTTCTGATCTGTGTACATGTTCTTCAGCTTGTCCAGCTCTGAGTGCAGCACAGCGATGTTGGTCTGGGCTTGGAGCAGAGACGTCTGCAGCTGCTCGTTTTCCTGTGGCAGATTTAATGACTAACTGGAGCAGTCTAATAAAACATGCATGTGATTCATTCAGCTGAACAATCACCTCCAACCTGACTGACCTGTGAGAGGTTACTGATTTCTCTGTTCAGATTCACCACCTCGTCCTTTGAATGGTTGAAGTCAGAGTCCTCCTGGCGCTTGAGAAAAGACATTTCATAAAGTATTTTGTTAAAACGCTCGTGCTGATGACTGGAGTCACAGATCCAGAATTTCCAGACCTGCAGGCAAACACAGTGACAGCAGCAGCTGCAGTTTAGACCTGCGAATACAGGCCGTCGATTACACCCCCACTCATACTCGATGTTGGCTGACAGCAATGTTTCAGAGTTTATAAAGAAATCTGAACATTTACAGCTTTTTTTTTTTACATAAACACAAAACATTTGAGGATCCCTTAATTTAGCTTTTTAAAGAATCGTATATTTGTAAATGAGTGAAGCATTTTACATTTGAATTGAAATAAATAAATAAATTTGTCAGTGCTCTCTGATGACCCTGCTTCTAAATGAGACATAAGAGATGTCTCTTCTAACTCAAATACAATCAGCAATAATCAAACAATAGATTATATTCAGTGTATAGACTGAATTCATTGATTCAATGTAAAAAATCTAAGCGCATGGTCTTAGTGCATGGGGGGATTTTATTTAGCATGTGTCTGAATCTACTTGTGCTAGAAAAAAGGCATTCTACTTGTGTTCTGGGCCTAATTTCCAATCAGAGTCCCAGGGTGGATTTAACAGGTGGTCAGAGCCAACGCTTCAGGGAGCAGATAATCTGTGTGTGTAACTTCTTTGCCTGATCTCCTAAACTTTATATTAGTAAGCAGATTTAGTATCAATACTTTAGTAGTAAGTCGCAAGTTTAATTTACTTGAATGCTGTCTTGCACCATCAGCTCACTCAGTGTTAGTATTTCTTTGCTTGATCTCTAACACTGTGACAGAAAAGCCGACCCTAGAGAAACAGCTACAGGTTGCAAACACGAACAGCTCCATTAGTGGACCAACATCGAAATCCATAAAACTAATGAGGCGAGACAAATATACATCTGAGAGCAAGCACATCTCATCCTGCTCATCACGGTCTTCTAACTATAAGCACCTGTAGTTACAGCAGAGGTGTGCGGGAGTGATCAGCCCAGACCTGAAATCATTTGAGTCCAGAGATCTATTTTAATCAGCCGCATTCAGCAGTGGGTTGTACTGTGAATACAAATACGTCTCTGAAAGCAAACACAACTCTATACAACACAACAACCCCAAAAACCAGGTCCCAGACAAGTTGTCTTGTTCATCTTTCTCTCATTCGTTCTCTCTCCTCTGCATCATCTCTGTTATCTTTGTCTTTCAGTTTTAGTGGATTTCTTCGCTCTTTGTAATGCAAGAAAACATATTCCAGCTTTATACAATCTGTGTGAAAATACAAAGATCTGTGGTGTAACTTACCTTTAACAGACCGTCCACAGTTGCCTGCAGGTCTGCGACTTCATTCTTATACTTCCTCTGCATGGCAGCCATGACTCCTTCCATTTTCTTTCGCTCCTGCCGACATGAAACCGAAGCAGTTAAAGAGGCCAGCTCAGGCTGTGAAGAGCGGCTTTCATCTGACTGTACAGAGGCTCTTTGTGAGGAGACGTGTAACCTGCTGTGGAGTTGCTGCACCACAAATAAGCAGGTAGCTCACAGGAGCCAAGAGGAATGTGTGGAAATACTTATTCACTATAACATAAAAATACATTATTTTAGTTTGTGGTTTCTCATTGCACTGTTTATTGATGATATGCTGCTGCATACGACACAACCAATTCACGCAGGTTGTTAGATTTAATTGGGATGTTTTTAATAGACAAAAAGTCCATAGTAAATCCTGCAGCTCTCACCTCTTCTCTCACCCTCCCCTCCGTTCTGACAAGCTGTAGCTGTATGTCGTCCTCCAGTTCCTCCAGCTGACTGCTGTTCATCTCCTCAGCTCTGTTTGAAGAGAAAAGGTACATGTTCAAGTTTCTGCCGGCAGCCACACCACTCCTGAATCAAAGCAGATCTCCAGCAACGTCCCAGAGATTAATATAGTAGGTAAAAGAAAGAAGACTCCCTTCACCTGCTCGTCCAGTGACAGTTGTGCCTGACTGATTTGACTTGGAACATGCTGCTGTTGTGACTCTCTGATTTCGTCAGACAGTACACGAACCAAAGAGGGGCGGACTTTAAAAAGCAGATCCAGAGAAGCACTAAACCTTTATAAGGTGATCTGATGCGATTTTTTGTTATAATCTAGTTTTATTTGTTTTATTACATTTTTAAAGGTATGTTGAATTCAACTCAAAGTGGAAACTTAGGTAGAATAAATATCTATTCTGCAAAGGGATTAACAGAAACAGACAGGCAGGGCAGCACATTTTTTGTTTTCCTACTTCCTTGAATAAGGAATGTTCTCTTTCTCATGCTGTGTAGTCACTGAAGCACAGAGGGAGCTTAACAATGAACAAACAATGCTTAGAGACACAATGTCTTCCCATGTGAAGGACTGAAATTCAACAGTTCATTTAAGGAGGTATGTCTCACTTCACGGATGTCAAAATCCTTTTCTTAATACAGCCTCTAACATTTACTGGCCAAGTTGTTGAGCCAGAAAAGCAGAAAAAGGTATGACAATCAAATAAAGGAAAAAAAACAAAAACAAATGAAAATACAATATTCTGTTTATTCTCTACGATTGATTTGATGACAAATATTTTATTTAAATAAAAATTTCTACTGTGGTTAAAATCTTACAGAGGTTTTTTTTTTCCCCAGTGGCCAAATATTTATCAAAACAAGCAGTTAATTAATTAATTTTTAATTAATAATTTCTGCAAAGTTGAACCCTCACTTTTCATAATTTTTAACAATGAACATTCACTTTTAAATGGAATAACTTTTTTCTCGACCATATGTATACCGAATAAATAAAACCAAATAAAAAAGGACAGCTCACAGGTCAGACTTTTTGTTAAATCATAGGAGACCAATGTTTAGGTTCAGGAGACACCTTGTAAAATAATGGAGGGATAACCAGGACCCAGATAATTCAGACATGGCTGCCAGACTTTGTAAAAATCATCTGTCTTAAATACCATTACTTATGTACATAAAGAATGATAGCTACATAAGACACGTGTGCTTCTTTATTGAAACACATGTGATGCAACTTATTTTTCATTCATTTCAGTTCAGATGTTGTGAAATGTAAAAAAATAACTTTAGGAGAACATGTTCTTCTTTTTCTTACCGCTTCAAACTGGTCTCCAGCTGTTCACACTCCTGTCTGTTGTCCAGACTTTGAGTGATCAGTGCGTGGACAGTTTTTTCGTACTCCCGAAGCAGAGCCGTGTTTGCACAGGAATGAATGGCCTGGTAAAGATCAGCCAGCTGCTCCCTGAGACTACACGAGAAGAGCAAATAGTTACTGCCAGTGATAGAGGTCAATGTGATTTTCTCTGAACCAAACTCCACCCAAAATCTGAGTTTCTGTTCAAATCAGATACTAACTCACCTACTATGAATCCATATGCTCAGTCAGTATGTTTGAAATACTTTTCACCATAACTGCTAATGAGCACTATGAAAGTAGCTTAAGCCTATTAAAGGTTAAAGGTCACATGTTGTAGAAAGTGAGAAATCTTTTTTTTCCCTACAGAGCAGGTCTTTGTGGTGTAATAATGCTGTGAAGATATCATAACATTCAACCCACAGAGAAATTAAAGCCTTAAACAATGGGTCACGTTAAAAACAAAAGGCGACAGGACTCCCACTTTTTTGTGATGTTGCAACTATAAAGTCACCACCCTCAGCTACACCCCAATCTCAGCCTCCCTGGACCCACTGCCCAACGCTCTGTTCGATGTCAGGGAAAAAAACAAACAATCACTATTCCGTTTTTTTCATCAAACACAAGTGCATTATACTCTAACTCTGATAAATCAGGCAAACAGTGTTGCAGCCAAAGTGCCCTCTTCTTCAGGTGTAGTAATAATAATAATAAAAAAAACATTCCTCCATACTGTGGTGTCATCCAAGTGTCTGCATGCCCCGACATGCAAACATGTGGCAAGTTGAATATGAATGTTGAGGCTTCCGGACACTTGGATAACATTGTATGAGTATAGAGATAGTATAGAAGAATGTTATGTTTTTTCTCTGTGGTGTTTTTATGTCTGAAGAAGGGGTTCCATTTACCTGAATTGTATTGGATTTGGCTGCAAGGCTGTTTACCTCTGAGACTCCAAAAGTGTTTTGTTGACTCAAACACTTCATTTTCATTTTTAGGTGAACTATCCCTTTACATCCTTTAGCCAAACAGACATTTTTGCTCATCACTTTGACACTAAATCCTCAACTCTCTCATCATTTATGCAACACTCAACAAGGGTATTATTGAGGATATGCAAAAATTGTTTTTCACGACTATAAAAATGATAACGAATAGACTGTGGTAGAGGTAAATGATGCCACTGAACTCGGTATCATAGAAATGCACTGTTCAGCTGCTCATCCAATGGACTTTAAACTTTTCCAGTGAGTTGCTGTGGACTCAAGAAAGTGAAGCATCGACTGTGAAGTGTTTTGGGGGAACGGTTGTCAAGAAATAAAAAAATAAGAAACATTGTGTGACTGTCAGTGACGAGACAGGAAAGCATACAGCAGCTACAAAACTTGTAAAAGATCAACATCCTCCAGCCAAGTTCCACAAACTGGAAATGGCTTAACAGCAGCTGTTTACTATGCTACATCTAAAGCAAAAGCAACAGCACTTTTGTTTACTTTTTTTAATCCCCACCCAAGTGTGACGCATTATTATTATTAACTGACAGGCGGAACAAGTCGTCTGACGTGTGTGTGTCTGTGCCTCCTTTAACAGACATGCATCTGTGAGAAAATAGCTTTTACTAATGTGTACGACACACTGATGGATACATATACCAGTGGTTTGTTGAACTGTTTATTGCTCCAAACGGAAATATATTCATGATCTACTCATTTTAAGTTTCAGTCAAATGATTAATCCACACTACTACATACAATCTACTACGATTTATTAGGTACAACAAAATTAAGCTAATGTCTGTACAAAACAACAATCCTGCAAGTAATGCTCTCTTCATCAAGAATATAATGGTCAGTTTTTATTGAATCTTCTTAAGATTTTTTTTTATGGTCATTTTTTCTTTTAATTTGTGGCGTTATTAGGTTACACAGAGAGGTGCTCCTAATATTTTATCAGTCTTAATTCATACTGGACCAAATAGTAAGAACCCAAATTAGAGCCTCCAAGATGACATAGACACATTCAACAGAAAATGAACATAATAATCTTCATGAAGAGAAGGATTTATTGCAGGTCCCTTTGACTATACTCCATATGTTTTATGTAGAAGTGTGTACCTTAGCGAATTAGTGAGTGTTCCACTGCAATACTTAAATGTGTGCTCCATTATTTTCTGATTATTTATTATCAGGAGGAATACATGCATGTTTGAATCTTTTAGTTTTTTTTAACTAAACCAAATTGCCCTGGAGATTAGTAAAAGTTGTGCTGTCTTTAGCGTATCCTATCAAATCGTATTGTGAAGTCTTGTATTGTATCGCATTGTATCATATCGTGCTGTGGTTAATTATAATGTATCATATAGTATCATATTGTATTGTATCATGTTGTATCATAATGCATTATATCGTATCATAACATTTCAGACTGTATCATATAGTATTGTATCATATTTTATTGTATTATATTTTATCTTATCTTATTGTATCGATTTGAATTGTTTAATATTGTATTGTATCATTTTGTATCGTACTGTATCGTTTAATATCATATTGTATTGTATGACTCATGAGATGAGTCAGGTTTCGAACAGGAACTTCCCTGTGTTGCTTGCACACGGAGAGGACAGCCGGATGTGATCGCACCTTTCAGACAGGAGATTCTCTGAGTCCATCCGACCCACGAACTCTTCCCACGAACATCCCGGGCTGAGGCTCGACCCGGCCCCGGAGGAGGCCCCGTCCACCGCCTCGGACACCTCCTGGAACCTGGAGGAGAACTTGCTGTAGTCGATGTATCCCTCCTCGTCCGCGTCGAACCTGTCGAACAGAGTCTTGATCTCGGCTTCGGGCACGTTGAGCTCCCGGCAAACCACCGCGAAGTCCCCGATCTCGATCCTGCCGGTCTTGTTCACATCACAGGCGGAAAACAGCCTGCGGAGACTGGGTCTCTCCATGTCCACCGGTTAAAAACACTTCAAAACTTAGAAAAGTTCCAACCTGAGGCTGCTCCTCCTGTGGACTCAGCCCCTCTGCACATATACAAGTGTGAGTTTAAGAGCCACTCATTGGTTCAGGTGTCAGTGTGGGCGGGTTTCATCCGGAGCCATGGGCCCAGTGAAGCAGCTCCTCTCTGCAGATCGATGTGTGTGAGGACCATGGGGACCATGTGGCTGCAGCACAAACCCAGCACTCACTCAGCTGCTCTCCTCTGTTTGTCTTGTAGGTGGGAGTTTTCTCTGCCACGCCTCTTTGTTCCTCAGGGTTTGTAGAGTGAGTCTGACTCCACCCTGAGAGATTAAAACTGTCACAAAAGAACAGAGAAGATGTAAAGCAGCATTTCTATTCATAAATCATTAATATTGATAAATGAACACAACAACACCACAGCACCTTGCCCCTACCCCAGATAAATCACTCACCACCCTACAAGAAACGGATCCACCAGAGCAGTCACACTCTGTAGTCGTTTCACGTGCTGTTATTTTATACTGTAAGAGTTTTTATCTTACAACATCTGAGGTTATTTAACTACTAATACACTCATCCTGTGGGTGAACGTTGTTTTCTATAAAGTGTTTTACTCTGATCAGTCTATTTTAGCACTATCCTGACTTTAGTTACTCATATCCTCTCTATCCTGTGCCATTTGACTGATACTATGTTGTGTACTTCCATGTCACTTGAGTAATTCATAAGTTGTGTACTTATATGTTGAGTCTGTTGCTTATGTGTTGGGTGTGTTAGTTATATGTTGAGTGTGTTGCTTATATGCTGGGTGCTTATGTGTGTACTTGTATGTTTACACGGGGGATTAGAGAGAAGCAACGTTTCATTCTGTCCTGCACATAAGGAAGAATTGACAATAAAGTTGGCTTAGACATTAACTAAATATGCAAAAGGAAGAAGAAATATTTTCGTAAATAAAATCATGAACCACTCAAATAAAAAAATTATCATTTGATCTTTATTTGAAAAATTAAAATAAAGTGCTTTTTATATACAGTACAAAAGGAAAACAAAAAGAAAAACAGTAGTGATGTATTGTACAAAAAAAGTATACAATTCACAATTTTTTTTACATTGGCAGCTGAATTTACAAAACTGTTTTACATAAAAACATTTTTTTCACTTGTACTTTGTTTTTAATTTTTTACAACACATGTTGACCAGAGTTGCAGCGATGCTGCTGCCACAAACAGAAGGCCTGACTGTAGTGGTTCATTTAGAGAGAGCGAGACGAGGATACTTTCTGTGGCTTCGATACCTGCACGTATTTCACATTGCAACTTTACCATAAGGTTCTGAAGACAGCTGCTTTACCCAAAGCTGCCGTTTGTTTGTGTTTTTCAATAACAGTCAGAGCATCAATCTTTCATACTGCACGATTGCTTATAGACAAACGCAACAAAATACTATCTAGAATTCATTATTTCAAATCAGCCAGTGGTTATTTATGTGCTACAATTTAAGAATGAAATTTAGTCCCTGACTAAGGTTGAAGCCACCATTTAAAAAAAATAAATAAACACCTCATACTGTACAATACTGTACAATGTTGACAGTATCAAATTACACATATTCATGTTTCGGAGCATGGCCCGTCCTCTCACACCTACAGCTCTACTACCTGCTTAGATTATTACACCAAGAGGCACGTCTCTTGATTATGGTTTCAGAAGGCATTATCTGTTTTCCCCAAAGGCAGATTTGTTATCAAATCCATAATAACCTGCATTGTACTAAGGCTTTTTCAACATCATGTGCAAATCCTATGCATTCTGAGTCGAGCTGTATGCTGTATTTTTAGTGAAATTTAAATTTTAGTTACAATCCCAGAGCCAAACTCAAGTAAGACTTCAATATTGTTTGACATAAATGCTGTCAGATCCGACCCATCTTTTTGGGGGCTTGGTTTGGGAAATCTTCGTTCGTGAATATGAAGATGGAATATTAAAATACACAATCCTTATGTTTGTTACTCGATGTGGATGAAGGTTATTGCTTTTATGGTTGCCTTTAAAACCACTGAAGCAAACAGAGGCAGAGGGCTTTTCCCTCCATTCATTAACAATCACGTAAGTTAATATGTATATCAAGGTTGAGGCTATACAGATGTGTGTTATCTAACTCAGATTATGAATATGTGTAGTATTTAAATATTCAATAATATCTTGGAGAATAGTGACAGATATTGAAGACACTGACTGTGATGAGTTAATATCTCTCTGTTAATGAAACCTTTGGCTTCATAGTCATAATAAATATTTATAATCATCAACAGTCACAGATTAACATTCCTGTACTGGAGCCTTGTCTGGTATCTTTTTTTGTGTGATGTCAGCCTTTCTAAGTTTCATTATCTTCTTCCTGAAATGCACCAAAAAAGGCTAAAAGCTCTTGCATACTTACAGTTAGTGTAATGAGTGTGAGTGCGTGTCAGGGTGTGTTTGCAGTGCCACAGATCCAACAGTCGTTAACAGTGCCAACACCTTTGTGCTTACTCAGTCTGGAGGTGAGGTTTTCTCTCGGTGTTTACCCCACTTCACATTATTTGCTTTGCATAGACGGCCTATCTCATGAAGAACATGATAATACCTGGAATGAGCGTTTTGTTTTCCCTTTATCACATTTGTTGGCAGTCAGTTTTCCACAGAGGGATATTTGTATCCACTAGTAATACCAATACTTTAAAAAGCACATTTGTGTTATTTAGGATTATTTTATGGTGTGTGATCTACATTTCCACTGAGGTGATTCTTTCACTTTCACAACTATTGGTCTCATTTTGATCAACATTCTCCATTTCTCAGGACAACTTTTTTTTGTTATATTTCAGCCAAAACAATGAATATACTTGTCTGAAACGTAGACTTTATATAAAGATGGACGACATGACTGCTTGACCCACGTCCTTTTTGTTCAAGTGCTAATATTTCCAGTAAGTTTGGTTAAATGTTATTTGATGCTATAAAAACATTGTAAAAACTTCACTATTGACAACTGAGACTGACTCATAATTGGTCGAGCATGTGTTAGCAGACTCGTTCATATCTGGGATTTTTTGGCTTAATTTCTTTTAGACTACAGACTTTTATAAAGATGGATGACATCTCCCCAAGAGGAAAGCCAAATCGTCATCATTGCCCCCTGCAGTATGAGTTGTCGAACAGGCCTACTCCGTGTTGATAGATGGAACATGGAGGAAAAAAGCCAAAATACAGTTAAAATATGTTTTATGTCATTTTAGGTAGTTCTCATCAATCTGATGTTCAAGTGCTAAGTTTCTCTGGTAAGTTTGGTCTTAATTCCTTCAAGTTTATGCATTGGCAGGACCTCGAAATCATGGCTCCACACCACGATCACTACTGCACAGACTCTAGCTCCAAATTATGTCAAAATGCAAGATGGCAGCAGGTATGCGCAGGATACTTTAGCGTTTGTACAACAGGAGGAAGTGGAGACACGTCGTCCAACTTTATATGCAGTCTATGGGGAACACACACAGTCTACTTGAGACATTTTCACAGGGCACCTATGTTTCGTTCTTGCCTGTCGCTGACTTGTCAGCGTGTATTCTGGTCTTTAACTTGCTACCGTACAGTACATAGTGCATAGCCTCAGCAGGGGGTCGGCTCTTACCAGACGAGAGAATGAAAATAAAAAAAGAAAACACTGTATCAGCGTTAGTGGGGACACATCTGAACATCACTCTGCCTTTCGAAGTATCACCTCTAGATTACATGGACGGACTCAAGGGGCAATGCTATGAAATTCAGTCTCTGAATCGTGGTTGTGACGCTCCATCTACGCTCGGTACATTCCTGTGAGCCGTATGTGAAAGCATCAAAAGTCTGAAGGCAAACTGGAACTTCTTCAGTGCGCTTTTGAATGCACTTGAAAATGCATGTGAGATGTAAATACAATGAAATGTACATGGGCCACAGGGACAGAACAAAAAAAAAGACAAAGTGCAAAATCTGTGTGATGAAATGTGTCTCCATGAAGAGTCTGATGTCCCCTGTTGTAGGGTTTTGTCTTTCTCAGCAAGTGCACTCTTTCTTTTCAGTTTAAAATGAGTCTCTCCACATGAACACGAAGCTGTAGCCTCACACTATAGAGTCTTTAATCTCTGAGCCAAGTCTGACTCGAGGTCGTGGGCATGCGGGAGAAATCTCTACGTGACTCTCTTTCAAGTTTAGAAGCCTCTTCTCCGACTCTGAGAAGCTCTTGCTGTTGTCGGGCGATGAGCACTCATGCGGCGGAGTGCTGCAGATGTAGTTGTCATTAAGGGTCTGGTAGCCCTTGTGGTCTGACACCGACGCTGTGACCGTGTTGCCGTTGAGCGGCAAGTTCTCAGCCGGTTTCACCACTATCCTGGGCTTCTTCTGCTGCATGTTGGGGCACTCTCCCTCCTTGAGCATGGACTTCATGTGGTTGCGGTTCCTGTAGACCACAAACAGAGAGAAGACCACCAGGGAAAACACCAGGAGGGCACAGACCACGATCAGCTCATTCCAGTAGGTCTTGGTGTTCATCTGCGGCAAGCGGGCCTTCCCCGGCAGGATGATGAACTCCTCCTGGGAGATCTGCGGAGTGTGCAATCGGCCGTTGAGGGTGGTGCTCTCTTGCTTGGCCTCGCCCCTCACACAGTAGTTCGCCAGCAGCTGCCTGAAGCTTTCCTCAACCGACCAGCACTCGTAGGTTTCCTGCCTGTCAGCTTGAGCTACCACCACCAGCCCTCCGTCTGGGCTGGGGTAATGGAAGTGACCTGCACTCTCGCTGAACTCCCATCTCCGCTCAGCCAGATTCGAGCGCAGTTTGCAAGGCAGTACTTTGAATGTGTTGGCTGGGATAATGATCACCTGGCACGAAGGCGTTCCTGTGGAAAGGCAAAGGAGAGACACAGATCCATGAGATATGACATGAAATAAGCTGCGCTGCCTTTTCTGCATCTGAATTCACAATAATGATAGTTTGACATGATGAAATTGAAATTCATAAAATAGAAACACCCTGTACACAATGTTGCACTCTATCTCAAATCTGACAGAGGAAAGGAGGTCCCTTACGCGTAGGTTTTGCAAAACGTGGGCTTGGCACCGTCTTGTTGCAAATAGCTGATGTGTCGGCCTCATCCACATCCTGCTGCCAGACACTGAAACAAACACGTTTAATCAGAACGTGAAGGCAAATG